TGAGATATTTCATACTTATTTCAGTTCATCTATTGTACTCTTTTTATTCAGTTGGGACATGATCATATTCTTTGGATATTTCTTTCTCTTAGCATGTTCATTGTATTTTTACTTTTCTCGCATCTGCTTATACATACACTGTTCTTAATTGATTCCACTAGAGAGATATTATTGTGATGATGAAACGTGTTATTGCACTGTGTGGGTGCATGATAGGTTTGACATCTCTGAATTCACCTTGGACTGTAGCCTCGTGTGAAACTAGGGGTATCACATACTTATTCAGAGTCATCGCGGGAGCAGTAGTTGGTTAGTGTGTAGACTCGAGGAGGACAATACCAAATTAAGTGGAGCTTGCAAGCGGGCACGACCGAGTGACACACAGGGAGATGGAGATAGTAGCATTGGACTTGAAGACGATGAGCGCTCATATTCAGTCCAAGCCAAGAAATGGAGGTGATAGAGGCATTCGGCTCGTAGTGTGGAGTAGGAAAGGTGCACCGATGTAATTCGAGACGAGCAATGAAGGTGGAGTACGAGGACAAAAAGTGGGGAAAGGCTACTGTCATGATTCAAATTGGGAGGAGAAGTATGGTTGATTTGCTTCTAATGTCAGAGGTGGCAAAGATCTCTTGGTGCGCACAAGAGAGGTGGAGGCACCACAAAAAGACAGATGAAAGTAAGGGTAATAGGGGCATCCAGTTAGAGTGTAGGTGCTTCGATTTGAAGTGCGAAAGAAATAGAAGACTCTAGCATGAGAGGTAAAGTTTCAAGAAAGCAATGGTAGATCTTCGAGGTGGCTTAGGAATCAAATTCAAGATGAAGATTGTTAGGATTGTGTCTTTGATTCTTTGTATAACTTCATGAGAATAAGATAGGGTTAGAGATATATCATGATTAGAAGATTGAGTTTCATCATGATTAGGAGTTTGAATCCTATTCTAATTAGGAAATTAGGCTAGAGATAGAGTTTTGATTTTTCTATATATATTCTTCTATAGTTGGAGGAAAAACCAAGCAAAGGAGAGAGGCCAATATTCTTATAGTCTAGGGGTAGCAGAGGACGTAACCTGATTTAAGAATATTGTGCGAGAGGCGAGGATTTTGTACTCTTTGTTCGTGCAAAAGATTACATCATTGGGAGAGGGTTTTGCAGTCTTTGTCCATTCAAAAGATTGTAAGGAGAGAGCTTTGAAGAGAATATGAGAGTTGATTATGTATGTGAGATTAAGAGATTGAGAGACGAGAGTTGAGTGGTTCCTCTTGTAGTTCTCCCTGATACATAGTGGATTTCTCGTATTGTTGCCCGTGGACGTAGGTCAAAGTTGGTTGACCGAACCACATAAATCTCGGTGTTTTGCTTCTTGATTGCGGTTATTTTCTATCTTGTTGATTATTGATTGGCTTTCGAGTTGCGCAGATCGTGGTAGGCAGGGAGACTAAATTCCCAACAAAAATCTCATTCATCGAGTCCTACGCTACATCACTAAATATCATCCACAAAGTGTTTGAAAATCGAGTGTTGCTCCCCTCCATTTTGTATATCTCTAATTACCAACCTGCACATCTTCTTTGAAAATAACCTTTCCATATCCAATGTCAAGAGCAAATGTTATAGCTTGCCATACCGTTTGGAATTCTGTATGCTCAGAATAACCTCGTATCCAAATATTATGATAAGTATATTGCAATAGTTCGTAATACATATTATGATAGTTTTATATAGTATTTCTAGACTACATAAGCTAAGAGGTTGGCATTTATATCAGTATTCCTCTCCACAAATTTTTTATATATCAGACACACATATTAATATATTGTGGTATTAGATTAGATGTGAGATTTTTAATTAAATATTAAATTATCTTAAATTACAATATAACTTATATTTAAGTTATCACATCATTATCTTAAATATTAAAATTGTATATTTATTGTATAATACCTAATATCTAAAGTTAAATATTTCTCTTATTTAACATAAGACTCGCTTGGTTAAAATTTATGATATATATTAGTTCTTATGTTTATTGCAAGAATAAGTATAGTGCAATAAATAAAATGTACTAAATAAAATTTGAGGAATATGGTTAAAGTTTATAATATATATTTAGTTTTTAATATTATTTCTTATGTTTATCGCATGAATAATTATAGTGTAATAAATAGAATGTTTATTGCAAGAAATATATATTTAGTTTTCAAAAATTGTGTAATTTCTCATGATAATCTCATGAAAATTCATCCTTGGATTATTACTCGGACCAAACTTTATCGTTAAAACTAAAACTGAAGACCCTTTTCCTGTTTCGATGCACACGTGCCCCTAGGCTTGAAAGAGTATCATTAGCTCCTAAAGTTGAAAATATTGGAGTCATTTTCGCCTCATCATGGTGGTGGCGATCAACATATTCCAGACCTGTAGCGAGCAAGGGAAATAAATGCCAATTAACCAACGGAAGTTTGTTACTTCTTCATATTGCTCATGGTATAGGGAAATTGTTCGACGTTTTCTTATCAAACAATAATAATAATAATATATCTGATCGAGCAGTTAGTTTTAGTAGTCGGCCTACCGTCACATCCGAAATCTTTCTGGTAATCAAACCCCCTCGTATGAAGGGATTTCGATTCTAAATTAACCACTAATAGAAGAAAAACAATAACAAATTCAACTTGTCTTCGTCTTGAGCGAAGCATTAGAACATGATCAATATTGTTAGGTTTAAAATGACTCGTAGGTGTTCGTTAACAGTGCAATACTACAATGCGGTTACGATCGGTTGGGTGATTAAAAGAAGATTTTCTCCCAACAGCCCTAAACAAACCTTACTAAAAAGTGAAAACCCAAAACAAATCATTCATTAAGTTGAGGATCGAAACAAACAAACCCCCCTCGCTTCCCTCCTATTTCTATGCTCTCACCCCTTCACTCCCAACCCTCACCGCACACACGCAAATATCATGGGTGAGGCCACCGACATCCTGAGGACCTCCGTCCACACCTTCCTCCAGGAATACGCCTCCCTCGTCTCCGTCGCCGTCCTCCTCGGCCCTCCCTTCTCCTCCTCCCTCTCCTCTCCCAGTCCCTCGCCCTCCCTGCTCCCCCTTCTCGACGCCCCGCCCCGTGCTCTCCCGCCTTCATTCCCTCTTCCTCGCCGCCAAATTCCCCCCCTCCCCCCTCCTCGACCTCGTCCTCTCCCAGTCCCTCCTCTCCTGCACCCTCACCCTCCCCTTCACCCTCACCTTCCTCACTCTCGCCAAATCATCGGTAACTCAAATCGTTACCCGTCGCAAAAGCTCAAACCTCTACCTCCCTCTCCTGAAAACCCACGTCCTCAGCTCCCTCGTATTTCTGTCAACCAACGCCTCAGCCTTCCTTCTCCTATCCATCGCCTTCATTGCCGGAGACCTCACCGGGCTTTCATCTAAAACCCCCCTCGTCGCCGCGTTTATGGTTGGCGCGGTTTTGA